AATAAATAAAAGGATACATTAAAATAAAGTCAATGTTTAATCATAATACTAAAAGAGAAGCAATAGTAGGGAAAAGGGTCTAAAAACTATTTATATTGGTTTAGAAATATGCTGTGTGGTTTTATTTTTCTAATTAATTTGGGCCACACTGCTCTAGACCCTCTGGGTAGACACAAACAGACAAAATGGAAGCAGTTCAGAAAATGCCCTCTAGATTAAAATTTTAAAGGCATGTAAAAAATAAACAGCCAGATTTATAAAAGTTTATTATCAAAGCTGGTTGTAAAGTTGCCTTTAAGAGTTAGCTGATTTATATTGAACTAGAGGCCTGGTGCATGAAATTCATGAACTGGGTTTGTGCGTGGGGGCGGGGGTCCCTCAACCTGGCCTGCAACCTCTCGCAGTCTGGGACCCCTTGGGGGATGTCCACCTGCCGGCTTAGGCTCAATCCCTCCGGACCTAAGCCAGCACTCAGACATCCCTCTCTCAGTCCAGGACCCCTTGCTCCTTACCGCCTGCCTGCACTTGCCAGCTGAGCCCAGTTTCTGGCTGAGTGGAGGGGGAGGGAGGAGGGAGGGCAGTAAGGGGGGAGTGCTGCTCAACCAGAAGCTGGCTTGCTGCTCCTTAGCACTGGCCTCGCCCCCCACCCACTGGTTGGGGGGAGGGGTGTAATCGGGGGCCGGGCTGGCCGGGGGAGGGGTCAGGGGAGGTTGAGGCACTGTGGTTGCACCCTATCCTGTCTCTGCGAGGTGCTGGGACCATGCGTCCCCCTCTCCTGCCACCTCTGTGGAAGGGGGGTGCGCCGGGACCACTGTGGCTGGCCTGGTGGCGCAGGCTCACCGGCCCTGCCCCCTGCCCACTGGTCATTCAAGAAGTCATTCTTGCCTCAGCCCTTGCAGCCCTGGCTTCATCCGGAAGGTCGTCTGGAAGGATGTCCGGCTGTCTGGTCTAATTAGCATATTAGTTCTTTATTATATAGGATGTCTGAGCTAATGGATACAAATTAAGGCAAAGTTGTTATCACATTTGTTTTCCAAGTCCAAAACTGCACTACTTTTAAAAGATCTGTAATTATATTTTTATGAATCTATAATAGTACAGGTCTGTTAATTCTTTATCTTAAGAACTAGTTAAATACATGTTTTGAGTCTCCTTACATTGTTTTATCTTTCTATTTCCTTGCCCTACTTTTTTACTAACTATTAAATGTTATAGGTGTAGATGCATAATCTTTTACTTGAAATTCCAGAATCTAAAGAGCTTTGAAAACCAGTTTTTGTCTAATCGAATTGTTCCAAAATCTGCCCTGATTTGAACTCATTTGATGGCAAAATCTGATCTCACCTGAACTGACATGAGACTATTTATAGTTCTTGTTCATCACACCAAGTATGAAAATTCATACATTTTTCCACATAAATATTAATCTCTGTAATTACTGGGTGCTGAAAGACGTTGGTAGAGATATTAAAGAACATACAGGATATGCATAAATTACCTTTCTAAAATTTGAAAAACACCTGAATTTTGAAACACATCTGGCCCCTGGATTTTGATAAGGTACTGTCGACCTGTACTTATTTTTAACACTATCATCTCTACATGAGGGTGGTACTTTATCTTATTCACTGTTGTATGCCCTGGGCCTAGAATTGTGCCCGAGATAACAAATACTCTTAAAACACAATAATAAAAAAACATACAATTTTAAAAGGGGCAAACGATCTGAACAGACATCTCACCAAAGAAGACATACAGATGGCAAATGAATATATAAAAAGATGCTTAGGTGCATGTTATTAACCAAAGAACTTATATGCATATGTGCAACCCATGGACACAAACTATAATATGGTGAAGGCCTGGGGCTGGGGTGGGGTAGAGGGGGGGTCAATGGGGGGGAAAAGGGAACATCTGTAATACTTTCAACAATAAAGATAAATTTAAAAAACAGAAACAAAACAAAAGAAATTTCAAATTAAAACAACAGTGAGATATTACAACATACCTATTAGAATGGCTAAAATCTAAAACAGCAAATGCGGTGAGGACGTGGAGTAACAGAAACGCTCATTCATTGCTGGGAATGCAGAATGGTACAGCCACATTGGAAGACACATTGTCAGCTTCTGATGAATCAGTTAACCATAGCCTTAGCCATATAATCCAGCAACCACCCCCTTGATATTTTCCCAACTAAGTTGAAATATATGTTGATTTTAAAAAAAAATCTACACAGGAATTTTTATAGCAGTTGTCTTCATAACTGCCAAAACTTGGAAGCAATTGACATCCTTCAATAGGTGAACTTATAAGCAAACTGATACATCCACACGAAAAATATTATTCAGCAAAAACCAAAACAAAACAAAAAAACACCCACATAGAAGAACTTAATGTATATTACTAAGTGAAAGAAGCCAGCTTGAAAAAGCTACATACTGTATGACCCCAAGTATATGACATTCTTAAAGGCAAAACTATAGTGACAGTAAAAAACGAAATCACTGGTTGCCTGGGTCTTAGGAAAAGAGAAGAATGAGTAGGTGGGAGCACAGAAGATTTTCAGACAGTGAAACTATTCTGTAAGACAATGGAATAGTGGACACATGACATTATACATTTGTCAAAACCCATAGAACTATACCACATAAAAAGTGAACCCTGATGTAAACTAAGGACTTTAACAATAATGTATCAAGATTGGTTCACTAATTGCAACAAATGTACCACATTACGCAAGATGTTAATAACAGGGGAAACTGCTCAAGGGGAAAGGGGATGTGTGGGAACTCTATACCTTCTGATCAATTTTTCCTGTAAACCTAAAACTATTCTAAATAATAAAGTCTACTAATATAAAAATAAACCTCCCCAAAGAAAATGAAGCCTGAGACACAGGCTTCATTGGAGAATTCTTCCAAGCATTTAAGGGGAAACACACACACACACACCACAACAACCTCATAACAACCTTTCAGCAAATAGAAAGTAAAAAAAAAAGAGGGAACACTTTCCTATTCATGTTATCAGGCCAGCATAACCTTGATATAACACTTGTCAAAGACATTACTAAAAAGGAAAATTATAGACCAATCTTTCTCATGGGCATAGATGCAATCTTTAAACACTTACTAATAGAGTTTTGATAATGCATAGCATGTAGAAAGCCAGTACAAGATGTGTCGCTCCCACCCTACCAAATGAGAAAAAGTGGTATAATCTACAAAATCATAATTTTTGAACCCACCAGAAAATTGAAGATATAAGACTATCCAGTGAACTAAATTCCAAAGAGTAACAAGCCCCTCCAAGGACAGAGGGGACCCTAAATGTTTGACAGAGAACAAGAGGAAAAGAAGGCTACCCTACAGAAGCGAGAAAGAAGAATTTGGCTAAGAATTCAGCCATGACAGATGAGAGGTGGGCTAGCATGTCAATTTAGAATAACTGGGAGCTCAGAACTAAAGAGGGAGTCACACTCCCTTGCATGCTCTTTCCCACGTGTCTACACCAGGTGTCCACACGAAAGGCGGAGGGCAGCGCACGGAGCTGCAGAGAGCCCCCTTCGGTGGCACAGGTGTGCACGAAGGGCCAGGCTGCCACTGCAGAACAAGCATGAGACCATGCTACCTCGCCCAAACTCTCCTCTCATGGGAGGAAAACGCCTTAAACCTCTAGGGGAGAATTCAGAAACCAAAACCACTCTGAAGACAAGGCCATAATTCACTGCTTCTGGGAGTAAGGCAGATGCAAAAACCATCTTCCTCACGGAAAGGTAAGGGAGCCTTTGGGCCCACGATCCCACACCAGGCTGAAGCAGAGGTCAGCCAGCACTAGGGAGGGGCAGGGATATCTCTGTCACCCGTGATCTGCCACTTATACAAGGCAGAGTTTGGCTGCACAGGGAGAAGAGGAAGGCACACTGAGGAAGACCTACCCTGACGCACATGGACCGGGCCAGGGCCAGGAGAATTAGAACACCTGTGCCTACCGTGAGCTCAGGAGGGTAACAGACGGCAGACTACTGCCGGGAAGGGATAAGAGCATGGAGAGAGACTTCCCTCTGTGCACAGGCGAGCAGGGACAGGGTCATAGAAACACAGAAAACCCCTCCAATGCCCCCAGAATCCTTTCTAAGGACAAAGTGCACGGCAGCCCACCAAATCTGAAGCCTGTGGTACGACTGAAGCCAATGGCAGTGATAATAAAACGTCTGACGGTGTTGACTGAGGCCACTTCCTAGTAAGATACAGAACACTTGAACAAAATGGTCTGTGTGACCTCATTGACATTTATAGAAAAGTAAGAGCAGAACACTAATGCCTTTCAAGTACACATTCAACCAGAGAAATAGCCCAAATAGCCCTGCATATATTTTAAAAATTAGATTTTTTATTAAAAATGTTCCCACAAAGAAAATTCCAGGCCCTAATGACTTTACCCGGAATTCAACCAGCCATTTAAGGAAGAAATAATATTAATTCTACACGAATTCTTCCAGAAAATAGGAGAGAAGGGAACACTGCCCAACTCAATTTCTGAGTTCAGCATTAAATAATAGCAAAACTAGACGAAGATGTTAAAATAAAACTACAAACCAATATTCTTATGAAAATATTCACAACATCTTCAACAAAATATTAGGAAATTAAATCAAGATATATATAAAAATAATAATAATGTATTGTAACCAAGTGAAATTTATCTCTGGAATGCAAAAAAACAATCAGTGTTGTTCACCATATTAACATATTAAAAATAAAAATCACATTGAGAATCTCTACATGTACAAGAAAGGTACTTAACAAAATTCAACATCCATTCATAATAAAACTCTCAGAAAAACAGGAATAAGAAAGAGTTTCTTCAACCTAATAAAAAAGTATCTATACAGCATTGTACTAGAAGCAGTAACCAGTATAACAAGGCAAGAAAAAAAAAACCATATATATTGAAAAGGAAAAAGGAAAATTGTCTTTGTTCACATATGAAATATGTACTTGAAAAATCATAGCAATATACAAAAGAGGAACTATAATAAATAAGTTTAGTAAGGCTGCAGGATACATGGCAAATAGACACATATCTATTGTATTTCTACATACTAACAAGAAACCACTGGAAATTGAAATGAGAAAAAAAATCAGCATTTATAATGGCATAAAAATACTTAAGGGAAAATCTTAAAATATGTGCAAGATTTGTATATTGAACTGTAAAAACACCAACAATAGAAAATAAAGATATAAATAAATGAAGAGATAAAGTGTATTCATGGGCCAGAAAATTCAATATATTTTTTTATAAGGAGAATCTTTTTTTTAATATATTTTATTGATTTTTTACAGAGGAAGGGAGAGAGATAGAGAGCCAGAAACATCGATGAGAGAGAAACCTTGATCAGCTGCCTCCTGCACACCTCCTACTGGGGATGTGCCTGCAACCAAGGTACATGCCCTTAACCAGAATCGAACCTGGGACCTTTCAGTCCCCAGGCCAATGCTCTATCCACTGTGCCAAACTGGTTAGGGCAGAAAATTCAATATTGTTAAGAGGTCATTTCTCCCCAAACTGATCTATACATTTAACAAAACCCCAATCCAAAATCCAGGAAGATTTTTTGTAGTAATTTATAAAATAATTATAAATTTTATATGGCAAAGCAAATGACAGAATAAACAACACAGTTTTTTAAAAGAACAAAGTTGGAGGTCTAATTACCTGATTTCAAGACTTACAATAAAGTTACAAAAATAAAAAATGTAGCATTAGCATGCTGGTAAACAAACAGGGCAATGTAACAGAATAGAGAGCCAGACAGAGTCCTCTGTGTGTGTGTATGTACTAAAGGAATTTTCAACTAAGGTGTCAAGGAAATCGGCAAATAAGCAATAGAAATAGGTGTGGTATTGGGCATCTACGTGAAAAAAAAAAGCTTTACATAGTAACATACACAAAAATGAACTGGAAATGGATCACAGATCTAAATTTAGAGCTAAAACTATAAACTGCTACAACAAAACAGGAAAAGATTCTTAGGTAAGGCACAAAAAGCACAAATCATAAAAGAAATTGATAAAAACGTATGTCATCAAAATTAAAATGTTTTCTATTTGAAAGACCCAGTTAAGAAAATGAAAAGATAAGCCACAGACTGGGAGAAAATATTTGCAAGAGGAGTATCTGATAAAGGACATATGTCCTTTATATAAAGAATCCTTACAATTCAACAATGAGAGAACAAAATATTTTTTTTAATGGGCAAAGGATTTGAACAGATTACTTCACCGAAGAAGATATAAGCATGATAACATGCTTGATATCATTGGTATTAGGAAAGGCAATTAAAGTCTCAATGGGTTATCATTACTCTCCTACCAGAACACTGTAATTAATAAATAAAAATTAATTAAAAAACTGACATCAGTACTAGCAAGGATGCAGAGCAACTGAAACTCTCAAAATTGCTGGTGGAAATGCAAAATGCTACAGCCACTTTGGAAAAGTCTGGCAGATTCTTATAGAATTAAACATACACTTATCATACAACTTAGCAATTCTACTCCAAGGTATTTATCCCAGAGAAAAGAAAATATTCAAACAAAACCCTATACCAGAATGTTTGTATCAGATTTATTTATAATCTCTATAACTGGAAACAACCCATAACTTCATAACTGAGGATGCCCAGCAATCAATAAATGGATAAACAAATCAAAGCCTACCCAAACAATGAAATATTACTCAGCAATACAAAGGACCAGAACATATATGGAACCAGACCTATCGGGGTATACAGATATCTAATCAGTATGCCGTGCACCTTATACTAATACTAGAGGCCCAGTGCACAAAATTTGGGCACAGGTAGGGTACCTAGAGGCTGCCAGCCCGGCCTTCCTTCGTTCTGTGCAGTCCCCTGGTGGTCAGCACACCTCATCACAAGTGATCAAACTCCCAGTGGGTCCAACTCCTGAGGGGACACTTTGCATATTAGGCTTTTATATCTATACTAATAAAAGGGTAATATGCTAATTAGGGTGACGTTCTCCAGATGTCCATTCAGACAAAGCCATACTGGCTGCAAGGCCTGGGGCTCAGGCCTCGCAGCTATGGCGGCCAGCAGTGGCAGCAGCAGTGGGCTAATAGGGGTGGCACCTTCCCCTGATCAGCCCAATTGTCTCCCGCAGAGGGACTCCCCAGTAGGACATCCCCTGAGGGCTCCCAGACTGTGAGAAGGGGCAGGCTGGGCTGACAGACCTCCCCCCCCCCCACAGTGCACAAATTTTTGTGCACCCGGCCTCTAGTATGTGAATAATACTGTATGTCAACTGTCATTGAAAATTAAAAACAATTTTTTTCCCAAAAGAAACTGAGCTACTGAAATACCAACAACATAAATGAGTCACAAAAGCATGATTCTAGCCCTATCCGGGTTGGCTCAGTGGATAGAGCATCAGCCTGCAGACTCAAGGGTACCAGGTTCGATTCTGGTCAAGGGCATGCACCTTGGTTGTGGGCACATCCCCAGTGGCAGCTGATCGATGTTTCTCTCTCATCGATGTTTCTAACTCTCTATTCCTCTCCCTTCCTCTCTGTAAAAAATCAATAAAATGTATTTTTTTTTAAAAAAAAGCATGATTCTAAATGACAGAAACCAGGCACAAAAATTTACATACTGTATAACTCCATTTACATGGCATTCACAGATACACAAAGATCCCTTAATCAATTTCTGCATCAAAGAACCCAGCACATTGGGAAAATGCTCAATAAATGCGGGGTGGATGGGTAGAGGGAGGATGACTGCAGGGAGGGTAGAGGCAAGGAGGTGAGTGATGCTAAGGCAAAACCCCCACATTTAGAACAGAAAAAGTGAGGGAAGGCGTGGTCCAAAGACCTAAGGTGATTCCAGCAGTTTAAAATATTAGACCCTGTAAAGGACGATACGATGAATAAATAGCTTTAGCGATTCTATGTCCTAAGGAAGGCATAATGCGCCCCACCCTCCTTCAAAAACCTATTACCCCACGCGCGAGGCTGAGCGTGGGGACCTGAAGAGAGGGTTTTCCGCGCACAGGAGCGGAGGTGCAGAGACCAGAGGCGGCTGCAGCCGGGGTCCGAGGGGCTCCCACAGACCGGGAGGCATCGCCGCAGCCCCGGCCCCATCCCTTCCCGCCCGCCTCACTTACCCAGGCCTGGCGTTCCAGCTGAGCGTACAAACTGGAGCCCTTGAGTTTTTGGACTATCTGAGCGATACTGAGAGACAGATCCGACTCCTCCTGCCACATTTCCCCTGCCCTAGCCCGCCAGGCGGCGGGGACAGGCCGCCGGCGCGGAGACAACGGGCTATGGGGTCCCGCTCAAGGCTAGTGACACTTCTCCCGGACCTTATTACGCTGGGACGCCTCAGCGGGCGTTACCAGGCAACCGCTCGGCGTGCGTCCGTTCCTCTTTGGTGCCCCCCCGCGCCTGACGGCCCCAGCACCTGCGTTCCGAGTGCAGGAACGACACCAGAGGGTAGATCTTCATTGCATTGTTCCTGCTTAGTCTGTGGTTG